TGGTTGTGTGCAATTTCAAGAAGGATGTGAGAGACATAGCTCGAACCTTTCGACTAGTGATAAGAAAAGGAAGAGATTCGACGATGCATCTCGGTTAACTCACACAGAGGTTAGACACTCTCTAGTGATTTCATCAATTTCCTCAATATCTTTGTATACTTATTAATTTATTCGTTAAATTGTTCTTTGCCTGAAGACAATCTTCATAATTTGCTGTTCTTATAATTAGAATGCAGACGTTAAGCATGGGAGGAATGAAATCGCTGAAAATGAAGATGACGATAAGTTAGCACACAAATTAGTTGTCAAAAGTTGCAGTAAAATAGTTGGAAAAGAATCTATACACAAGTCCAATAGTAAGAAAGCTCCCAATGCCAAAATTTGTTTAACGAATAGTACAGAAGATAGGAACAAAGATTATGTCCAGGCGAGGGCAAAACGGGGTGAAGCAACTAGCAGACACAGCCTTGCTGAAAGAGTATGATTTACTTGATGTTTCTATTTTCTTGATTTTACACATTTACTTCATTGATTGGATAATCTCAATGCGCATTGGTATTGCAGATTAGAAGAGAAAGAATAAGCGAACGAATGAAAGTTCTTCAAGATCTTGTTCCTGGATGCGATAAGGTGAACTTAGAAAGGACTTCCTCATAGATCCTTCATTTTTAACATAACTAACAATTGGCACGTTCCTTTTAGATCACTGGGAAGGCAATAATGCTTGACGAGATTATCAATTATGTATTATCATTGCAACATCAGGTTGAGGTATGCTCTCTCAGATCCAAAGATTAGGCATCTACACTCTCTGGAATGCTACCATGTCCAAATCATTACTAGGCCTCTATGAGGGATACTAAAATTCATTAAAAGAACGTTCTTTTGGCATTGAGAGAAATTGTCTGATTGATTATAGGATAGCTCTGTGGCAGCTCATTATCTAGTTAACTAGGGCTGTCTGGGCATGATTTTGGAAATTAAGAATTGATTTTTTGTCCGTTTTGGTCTGACACATCAGACACAGAATACAACAGCTTTGTTTGATTTTTTTACCGTTGCACAAATCAACGGTAAAAAAATCACTTATTTTGCAACTTAAAATCACTCCCAGGCAGGCACTAAATTTTATATCCAATCTAAAAATCTTGAACAGTGTTCAGAGTAAATACTTCACCAAAGATAGGTAGATAGCACAATCTGCTTAGCCTTCCCCTCTCCGGGGGTTATAGTGATTGCCTGTAGTGGAAATGATCATCAATTCAATCACATGTGTAGCCACTGGCTCCCTTCCTTGCCAGCATCTCAATTAACTGAGAAAAACTAGTTGCTGATCTTTGTGCTGCTATGCAAAGCCAAGTACAACAATACTGACATGAATGCTGAATTTCTTGTTTGTGAAGTTTTTGTCCATGAAGCTTGCTGCTGTGGATTCTAGACAAAAATCTGGACTTGGTCAATTTCTATTGGAAGATGTAAGTATTAGCTCGTCTATACCTATAGGTAAAGATTACCAAAGAAATAATATTGTTTGCTTAAGTGCTACCTTTGAGCTTCATCTTAGTTCTTTTCTATGTAGATCCATCATTCACAAGAAGGAATTGCAGCCACTATAGATACTACTGAAATGGGCTCCTTTTACTCCCTTCCTGATACTGTTTCGCAAGTGACTTCGCCAACATTAACACCAAGTCCAAATGTCAGCTTATTTGAACCCCGTATGTTCATCAACCCTTAAACAATGTTCTGATTTGAATAATCTACTGCTAGTTTCAAATCGCAAGGGTACGGAAAGAGAAGATCCCAAATAAGAGCCAAAGGGATTTTGTCTGTAACTTGGATCCAGACACTCTAAACTCAGAAGCTGACAGCTGAAATTCAATTTAATGATTTGGTAGTTCTGTATTCTCTTTCCATTTTTTCTTCCAGTGTAGTTCAATCAGAGGCCAACTGCCACTTAGTCGAAGATGTTGCAAGTTTCCTGGTGAGTCTGAAAGATAATCTTGTTTTGATGATGATGTTATTGTTCTTTTGAGGTTGACTTGACTACTGTTAATAGATAACTTTGTCTCTCCTGAGTGTTGATCTTAGGGTTTGTAAAATTTCATGATTGACTCGTGAAAGGCAGCTAATCTTATTCCTCAAATTTTAGCCAACAAAGATGAGTTTGAAGGTAGCAAGTAGCAAAGTCAAATTCATGGAAAAAACTTGCATAAGAAGAAACTCTCGAATTACTGGATTTTTTTTTGTTTTTGTTTATGGTTGCTTCCTATTAATTGTAAGACTTCAGTTTGTTTATCTTAGATTAGATCTTGTTCTACACCATAATTCATATTAATTAACACCACATGATGGTGCTTGTTAAGAGTTGTAAGCTGCTTCATTTCAATTAAGGTTTTTGGTTAATCATGAACTTTAGAGACGTGAATTAATGGAAGGACAACTTTAGTGATTATGACGTGCTTTGTGTAGACGTAAAGAGGGACTTGATCATAATAGATACACGATCATCTCACTAGCACATGTTAGGAGGAGATTAAAACTAATATGACAAAATTTAGCAATAAACTAGGTAGAGAAATGAAAAATGATTCTTAGTCGACTCCAAATATTGAGCACAAGATTTAGTCTATGTTCGTGTAAATTTAAAAGTTACTTTTTTTACCTATTAAATTCAAACATTAATTTCAATCACATTCACAATTACTACCTATATATTAAGTACACATTCTGTGTGATTCAACGCCATTCCTCCTAAAAATTTACTAATAATTTTACCAGGATATTCACTCAATTCATTTCTAATCGAGGACTTCATTAGTAAAAACTATTTTCCACGTACATTTGGTTTATCAGCACTAGTATCAGCAGACGGCCTACCACCAAAATCTAGAATGCAAAAGCAGGATACAGCAGAAGTGTCTATTCTTTCGGCTAACTCTTATTCATACTCTATTCTGAATTGGGACATGTTTTGATGGAGAATGTGAAAGTTGTTAGGAATATTTTCACTAACAGAGGAAATGGAGAAGAAATCAACAATTAAGACCAGCAACAAAATGAACAAAACCATGATGAAACTTTAAATATAACAATGGAAATAACTAAAAGAAGATNCATGTCTGAAGAAAGTGAATCAAAGGGGATGAAGATATCAAGTTTTGTTGAAGGAACTGTTGGGAATATTTTAACTAAAAGGGGAAATGGAGAAGAAATCAACAATTATGACCGGCAACAAAATGAACAAAATCATGATGAAACTTTAAATTTAACAATGGAAATAACTAAAAGAAGATGATAAACTTATCTCATATTTACGCATATTGTAGTCTCTCCTTTTGTAGACTTTGATCTTTCACACAAAGACTTGAAAGTAACTAATGCAAGTAATCAAGAACTTCAATGATATGCTCAAACACGATAAACGTTGTCATCGATATTTGCCCCTCTTCGATACAATTTTGGTGCTTAAAGGTCTTCCGACAAATAGTTTGGATGATTAATCAAGCCTTGTTGTAAAAATACCAAAACACTAAGGTGCCGTTCTCTTTGTGTT